ACAGTGCCCAGGACCTGAGTTCAAGCCTCAGGACTGGCAAAAAAAAAAAAAGGAAGAAGGAAAAAGGAAGAAGAAGGAAGAGGAGGAAGAGGAGGAAGAGGAAGGGAAGGACGAGGACAAGGAAGAGGACAAGGAAGAGGATGAGAAGGAGGAGGGAGAGGAAGAGGAGGAGAAGAAGGAGGATGATGAGGAGGAGGTGGAAGAGGACGAGAAGGAGGAGGAAGAGGAAAAGGAAGTAGCAGTTGCTGACTGTGTTCCAGCAATCCCTGAGGAAGGGTAGAACCTAACCTAGAAGTTGTTAGCAGGCCCAGGTGGGGTTCACATTGACCAACCCTCACTTCTCCAGCTAGGTGATTCTTCATTATCCTAATCTGCTGAGCCTCTGCATACCTCCTAACGCCCGCATTTTCCCCAGAAATGTCGTCCACCTCTACTAGAACTCAAGTTCGGATTAGTTCAGGTAGGACTGAGTTGGACTCAACTGCAAGAGCTATTACCGATTCAAATCTGTTAGTAACACATTATCATCAGACATTATCATCCTTAACTTGGATAAACCTCAGGGAAAGTGTTGAATAAAAAAAAAAAAAGGAAGTCAGGCTACTGATGGTTCATACCAGTAATCCTAACTACTCAGGAAGCTGAAATCTGAGGTTCACAGTTCAAAGCCAGCCCAAACAGAAAAAGCAGAGATTAGGGCTAGGAAGGTGGCTCAGTGGTAGAGCGCTTGCCTTGCATGCCTGAGGCCCTGGGTTCGATTTCGCAGTACCACATAAGCAAAAAGAAAAAAGCTGGAAGTGGTGCTGTGGCTCAAGTGGTAGAGTGCTATCCTTGAGCTGAAGAGCTGAGGGACAGCACCCAGGCCCAGAGTTCAGGACCCATGACCGGACCCAAAAAAAAAAAAAGCAGAGATGGAGCTGTGGCTCAAGCAATAGAGAACTAGTCTTGAGGGAAAAAAAAAAAAGCTCAGAGACAGCCCCCAGGCCTTGAGTTCAAGTCCCAGGACTCACACAAAAATCAAAATAAATGAATAAAAGAATATGTACTGTATGATTTATATGATACTTAAGAATAGGAAAATCTAACCTAGGGTAAAGTCAAAATAAGAAAACAGATAGTATTAGGTTGGTAAATGGACCCTTATTAGAAAAAAATGTGAGAGAGAACTTCCTGGTGTTTCAACAATATCTTATTTATTGTTTGGGATAGGGGCACATAGATAAGTACAATTAACGCATTCATCAACATGAACCATGAAAATCTAGCATTTTATTATATGTAAATTATCTCTCCCTCCATCCCCACCTTTCTCCCTATTTCTCTTGAATAACCTAGGGAAATTCTGAGAGAAAAAAAAGAGAGAATGGAACAAATATTTCAAGTACTCTGCTGTCATAGTATGTAGGGGTGTGTGTGTGTGTGTGTGTGTGTGTGTGTGTGTGTGTGTGTGCACATGCGTTGATACTAGGGCTTGAACTCGGTCTGGGAACTGTCCCTTAGTTTTTTTTGCTCAAGGCTAACACTCTATGACTTAAGCCACAGCTCTGCTTCTTCTTTTTTTTTTTGGCTGGTTAATTGGAGATAAAGCATTTCATGAACTTTTCTGCCCAGGCTGGCTTCAAACTGTGATCCGCAGATCTCAGCCTCCTGAGTAGCTAGGGTTACAGCTGTGAGCCACCAGCGCCCTGCTCTATCATAGTTTTTGTTTTGTGCTCCTATAACAAAATACCTGAAACTGAATAATTTGTAAAGAATAGAAATGCATTTCCTCATATTTCAGGAAGCTGGGAGAACAAGACGAGGGCTTTGGATCTGGGACAGATTTCTTGCTATATCTGCTCATGGCAACAGAGTGAAGGTAAGAAAGAACAAATCCACTCCTGTCAACCTTCCTGTTAGAGACGTTAACCCATGCAAGACAACAAAGGCTGGGGCTGGAAAGGTGGCTCAGTGGTAGAGCACTTGCCTTTCATGAATGAGGCCCTGGGTTCGATTCCTCAGCACCATATAAGCAAAAAGAAAAAAAACAGAAGTGGTGCTGTGGCTCAAGTGGTAGAACACTAGCCTTGAGCTGAAGAGCTGAGTGACAGCACCCAGGCCCAGAGTTCAGGCCCCATGACCGGACCCAAAAAAAAATTAAAAAAAGACAGCAAAGGCCTTATGACCTAACCATGTCCAGAAGGCCTTCCCTACAACACAAGTGCCTCAGGAATTAAGTTTAATACATGAGCTTGGGGGGCACACACTCAAACCACAGCACCTTCTAACACCCACCCACCCCTTCTTCCTAAAAGAGGTATAATTTTGCTTGACGTATTAACTCTATCCTATCAGGAATCCTAGCCCAGGACAATGAGAACTTCTACTTGGTAGGGCTTCCTAAAGAGGGAAGCACTCAGGCCCTGCATCAAGTCTCAGGGCTCCCACCAAAAGAAAAAAAAAAAAGGAATGAATCTTCCATAACAGAAAGTAAAATTACTGAGCCGGGCACCGGTGGCTCATGCCTGTAATCCTAGCTATTCGGGAGGCTGAGATCTGAGGATCACGGTTCAAAGCCAGCCCGGGCAGGAAAGTCTGTGAGACTCTTATCTCCAATAAACCACTAGAAAACTGGAAGTGGCATTGTAGCTCAAGTGGTAGAGTGTTCGCCTTGAGCTGAAGAGCTGAAGGATAGTGTCCAGGCCCAGAGTTCAAGGCCCATGACCGACCAAAAAGAAAGTAAAAATACTTTATTCATGGGCTAGTTGAGCACGTTCGTTTATCTTCAACAGAACATTCTACTTATTAAGTAGCATATCTTCTCAGGGGATGGAAAACAGTTCCTGCCATGAAACTACTTAAGATCAAAATCTCCACCTCACTCTGGGGCAGAGCCATAAAGATGCAATCAGAAAGGCCCTGAGCCTAAGCACACAGGAGAAACCTGCCTTCACCTTCGGGTGACCCTGTAACCTGCTTGTATGTCCAGGGGAGTTATGTCAAGCTGGCTGAGGAATCAGATTAAGTTCTATCATTTGCACAGTGGGGTTTCAACCTTAATAAGCCCTGGTCATGGAGAGAGTTCAGAAGCAGTAAACCAGAAAAACAGCACTGGAAGGTCTCATCATACACTGGAACATTATATTCAGTTCCTCAGATGACACACGGCATCAAGGTAGGCACAGTCTCTGCTTTCTATGAACTTGCTTCTCGTGGGAGAGACAACCAGAAAGTAAGTTGTTTTTGTTTTGTGCTGATCCTGGGGCTTGAACTCAGGGCCAGGGTGCTGTCCTTAAGCTTCTTTTGCTCAAGGCTAGCCCACTACCATTTGAGTCACAGATCTACTTCTGGATGTTTAGTAGTTTAATGGGTGTTAAGAGCCTCACAGACTTTTCTACCCAGCCTGCCTCCAAATTGTAATCATTAAATCTCAGTCTCCAGAGTAGTTAGGCTTACAGGTGTAAGTCACGGACACATCTGGCTTGTAATGGATTTCTTAGTTCTATCTGGGCTACAGACAAGATGCACGGAATGTTGGGAACACTCCACCAGGGCCATGATCTGTGGCATCTCTCCGAGCTCAGCCAAACATCTTGGAGTCATCTCACTGACATCCATCTGTCAGTGCGTTTTGTCAGCTCCAACTGGAGGATGCCTGTCCTGCCCCAAGCACCAGCTCTAGCAAACTCCATGTCCCTGCCTCCCTCCATGGCCCTAAGTCTGTTTTCAACAGAAAAAGTGCACTGGTCCAGTGAAAACCCATGGCAGGTCATTTCTGTTTCAGAATCCTCCATCTCATTTAAGAGTTAGTCAGCTGCTGGTGGGCTCACACCTGTAATCCTAACTACTCAGAAGACTGAGATCTAAAGATCTTAATTTGAAGGCAGCCCAGGCAAAAAGGTCTTTCTGAAAATGTCCAATTAACCACCAAAAAAAGCCAGAAGTGGAGCTGTGGTTCAAGAGGTAGAGTGATAGCCTTAAGTTAAAAAAAAAAAAAATCTCAGGGACAGAGCCCAGATCCTGAGTTCAAGCCCTAGCTTTACACACACACACACACACACACACATGAGTCCTCTCTGCAAGTCCTGATACCTCCACCCTCAACACCTCGGCTCACAGTCTCCTTTCTCCTACTCTTCTCTTGCTCACTCTCTCTGGCATTGCTGCCCCTCAGATAGATCCAGCCAGCTCCAGCCTCAAGACCTTAGCGCACTCCGTTCTCTGCCTGGGACCCTGTTACCCAGACATAAGACAGAGCTGCTTGCTTCCTCACCCCTTGCCAAGTGTCTCCTCTGCCTTTAGCTTCACTGTGAGGCCTTCCCTGAACACCACAATTCCTACCAAGAGACCATCCATCTGCCATGCCAGGTGTTTTGCTTCCTGGCTATTACTACCACTGGAGTCAGGTCTACAGGAGCTCCATCTACTGGATCCACTTCTGTATGAGCGGTGTCTGGGACAGTGCTTCCATAAAGCACGCTTGTTGATCAGGGAAGTAGCTCACACTGGTCATCCTAGCTACTCAAGGAGACTGAGATCTGAGGATCTCAGTTCCAAGCCAGCCCGAGCGGACCGTCGGCGAGACTCTCATCTCTAATTCATCAGAGCAAAGCCAGAAGTGGAGGTGTGGCTGCAGTGGTTAGAGCATCAGCTTGCAGCAAAAAAAAAAAAAAAAAACCTCAGGAACAGCGCTCTGCGTTCAGTCAGGTCTCAAGATGGGCACAAAAAGAAAGAAAGAAAGAAATGTGCCCTTCTCATATCCCAGCAAGGCTGTCGGTCCTTTGTGCATCTTGCTCGTCTCTCCCCGCGTCTGCCTTGTGCTGGACCTCCGGTTCGGGGCACCCCGGCTCAGCAATAACTACCTGAATAGATGGGCCCGGGATTAAGGACGGCACCTGCACGCGGGAAGCTGGAATCGCACCGCTCCGCCGGGCCCCGCCGGGCCCACCCCCGGCCCCACGCCCGCCCCGCGCCCCTCGGGCTCCTCATCGCCGGGTCCCCGCCCCGGCCGCCGCCCGTACCTCTTGCACAGAGAAGCATCTTCGCAGGTGCCGCGCACGCCCTCGTCATCCGCGTCGCAGCTCGACGTGGAAGAAGAGGAGGCGAAAGAGGCCTCCCTCAGTCTAGCGGCCATGGGCGTGGAGATTCCGGGGTGCAGTCCCCACGAGGGACATGGAAGCGAGTTCCCCACAGGTGGCCGAGGAAGGAGCCAGAAGACACACACACACACACACACACACGCACGCACGCACACACACACACACACACACACACACACACA